GGCCACTTAGGGATCTGGGGCAAAAATCTGCCTGGGTAGGGTTACCATTCGTCCGGATTCTCCCAGACATGTCTGGCTTTTTTGAGTTAAAAATAGCGTCGGGGGGAATTTGTAAATGTCCGGACTTCCCCCCCCATGCAGAGCACGCGCGGCTGACAGGGCAGCCGACCGGATCCTGCCACTCGCATGGGGCTCTGGCAGCCAGAGCCCCTCCTCTCCCCTGTAGCTTGAAATCACTCCCCTCCTCTCTCAACCTCCCTCCCCCTCCCTGCATTCGCAGATCGTCGGCCGGCCGTTCGCATCGGGCCTCCGGCAGTCTGGAGCTCCTCCCCCTGCTCCCCCGTCCCCTGCTGCCGAGCGCGCTGCTCTGCAGCACTCTGTTCTGAGCGGCACGGTAAGGGGGCCAGGAGGTCGGAGAAGGGGCAGGGAGGTTCTGGAGGGAGCAGTCAAGAGACAGGGAGCAGGGTTGGATGGGTCGGGAGTTTGCGGGGGGGTCTGTCTGGGGGTGGGGGTGGGGGGGGGGGGGGGGGGGGGGCAGGGCTCCCCCCCCCAGTGTCCTCTTTTTTTATTGTGGAAATATGGTAACTCTATGTCTGGGGATTGGTCCTGCTTTGAGCAGGGGGTTGGACTAGATGACCTCCTGAGGTCTCTTCCAACCCTGATATTCTATGAAAAATAAAGCCACCCTCAATGAGGGGCGGTAGCTCTCCCGTCGACAAAGCGCTGTCGACACTGGCACTTTTTGTGGGTAAAACAAAAGTTTTTCCGACAAAAGTGCAGAGTAGACATAGCCTTACACACACACACACACACACACACACTTAACTTTCCACACTGTAAGCAGTCCCAATAAAATCAATGGGACACCTTACCATGCAGAAGTTAAGCACCTATTTAGATCTTTGCAGGATCAGAGCCTGAGGGTGACAGAGAGGACTTATCAAGCAACTGACTTTTTCACAAAAGACAAATATTTCACAGCCAACAATGCCTTTACTTATACATTCATAGAGGCAGGGATAAAGTGTGCATGATGCTGGAAAAGCAATCACAGGAAGGGGAACAGAAAGAAGCCTCAGGTGGAGAGGTGTATTTTGCAGGTAGCAAAATGTTAGAGGCAGTTCTATTATTGTTTTTATTTTAAATGTTGTGTTTGGGAGATTATACTGTGGAAGTCAGCATGGGGCAGGGGTCGCTTGCTGGAGGATTCTCTGCGACTTGAAGTCTTTAAATCATGATTTGGGGACTTCAACAGCTGAGTCAAGGGAGAGAATTATTCCAGGAGTGGGTGGGTCAGCTTTTGTGGCCTGCATCATGCAGGAGGTCAGACTAGATGATCATAATGGTCCCTTCTGACCTTAAAGTCTATGAGTCTATGAGATTAGCCAGTGAACTCAATGGCAACCCTCCACCACATTGCCTGTCATTTTTGTGTCCTTGCATCTTTCATTCTGTGCCCCTTGAATTATTGCAGCAATCATTCTGGCCATGCACAGTACCTGCAGAGATCTAGGACTTAGACTTAAACCCTGGTCAGAACGAAGTGCCATGACCTCACACAGGGGCCCTCAGGTTAGATTTCTTCTCGGTTTAGGATGCTTCAAGTACAACTTTATGCTAGTTAGCAGTTTATTTTGGATATGGGGTGACTACGTAAATGAAAGGTTCCAGTCTGCAATAATACTATGAGATACCTTTTACCCGAGAATCTCAAAGTGTGCATAACCAACATTAATTGACCATGCCCACAGCATCCCAGCCCATTTTATAGCTGGACCAACTGAGGCAGAAAGTTGAAATTACTTGCCAAAGATCATATAGGGTAGCAGACCAATGGCAGAGCTGACAAAAATAAAAAAAATCCCGATTCACAGTAAATCACATTCCCAAATAAGAGGGTCACCTATGAAACTGGAAAGAGGAAGCAAGGTTGAAACAGCATGTGGTGCCAGACAGATGGTTCCATAATGCCGATCCACTACATGTGGAATATCTAAATATGCTACAAAGCAACCCTACTTAGGTGAATGAAGAATCCTTTCTAAAGGCCATATATTTTAAGCTTTATAGTAAAGCACAACAATGCAGGGATTAGCAAGCAGTCAAGTGCAGCTGGCAACGATATTTTTCCAATTTCACAATAGGAGTATTAGAAATGGAATTCTAGAAAGCACTTTAAAAACCAGGCATTGGACATTACATTTTGACAACATTATAATTATAAAGTTGAAGGCACAGTCTTGACAGAATTATAAATGTAATATTACATACATATAGGTGTAAATTTAAAGAGACATAACAGTACTAAAATTAGTATTTCACAGAATTGTTCACCATTCCTTTTCTGATACCAAACTTAATAAAAAAAGATTTCTCTAAAGTTAAAAATATTTGGTTGGAACTTCTGGTTTCTTGGCCAGAAAACAAAATATTCTTATCGGCTCATGTAATTAAACATTGCCCTGCTTCTGTTCTGACTTGGTTGGTCTTACAGCTCCTTTTGGTATGAAATTGATTACATGTAATAAGAGGCATGCCTGTATCATTTGTAAAAGTTTACTGGTAAATCCAGTGTAAAATTTCAGACTGATTATTTTCAGGGCTTTGTTTTGTTTTTTTAAGTAAACCATAGGTCTTACTATCTAATGACAGTACAGGAAATAATAATAATAAATAAACTAGTTTGATGCATAGTTTCATTTGTAACTGAATATCTTAAAATGGTTTTGATGACACAATCACATGATTTCAAGATGTCCATAGACAGGAGCAAAGTGTATTTACAGAAAAAATTAGCACATTTACATGTGTGCACATATTTTACCTTTTATGCTATTTCACCTCCACTGTACATTCAAACTGGAAAACATTTTGGTTTTTCAACTTCAAGCATAGCATGAAATATTTTATTCACAAGGCATCAACATAAACATTCTAAAATTTCAGCAAGTTCCCACACAGACGTTTACCGGGGAAAAAAACGGTTTTCAAAAAGGCTGACTCAGATTTTCTGGACCAGATGTACAATACTGAGTATGTCAATGCAATGTATATTCATTCAAGTGCAAGACAAATTTCCAGTCACCTGATTAAAATAAGGGGCTTCTTAGTATTGGATACCACTGTGCATGTGCAGTAATTGGATCAAATACTGGTTTTAATGATATAGAAAGCATTAAAGGGGGACTTTCATACAAGGAAAACTTGCAGATTTAACCACATCTATTAATCTTAAACATTGAGTAATAAATTGTTCTCATTACCATATGTTTGCTAACTACCAACCAAGAGTTTAAAACCAGGATTTGTCCTAAGTGACCATTCTTGATTCCTGAAGTAAAAGTCTTAATTTTGATATTTTTTTCCATGCAACAGATGTCATAAGCATAGGATTATGAACCTGTTCCTGCTCCCACATAAGTCAGTGGCAAAATTCCCATTTTTGAGTAGGACAGGGCCCAATCATATTCGTTGCAGGATCAAACAGAAGATGACCAATTACTAGCATAATTCAAAACCAAGTTCTCTTGTATAAAGAAAGAGGCTGCTGCCATGTGAAAGTTCTTCCTTGAGAAAACAAATCATGCAGAATACTCTCAATTGGACCTGCTGAGTCTTGCCAGAAAGAGCCTCTGAAAATGAGGGTAGGTGAAAAACAAAACTGGAATCATGGAAGCAACTTATGTGATCTTAAAGCAATAAATGCTGCATGGTAGTATTATATTGGTTTCTACATAACAATCATCCACTAATCAAAAATAGCTGTGTTGTTCAAGACTGAGAACAACACACAATAGAATGTCTTTACTATAGCATAAATTAAAGTTTCCTGACACTAGAAAGGACAAATATAGCTATAATCTAGATTGAAATATTTCTTAAAATCTTATCAGTTTGTGATCTCATGAAACCAAATTCTTGAATGGAAATTTGGTGTTTTCCTACTCCTAATTTTCTCTTTAATGTGGAAACAACAAAAAAGTTATATATTGCACTCAGCATTACGATATGTGTAAAATACTCTCTGATCACACCTTAGGGACAACATATTCTGCTGCACAAAACTTCCTGTTTTCAGATTTTGATATTTTCCCTTATGAAGCGAGAGACACTTCAGTAGTGAAAATTATACAATATATCAAACATTTGCTTTTGACATTTTACATACATTATGTGTGTATTATCTGTGATTCCAAACTTAAAAACTAGAACACTAACATTTACTGTTCTCTGTGTCTATTCTCTGATAAATGTGCTGACCTCTCTGAAAAACACAAATGAGAATTAAATGCTCACATCATGGATTAGACTTCATGGTATAGTTCCTCATAATTATTTACCTAGTAAACTGTTAAATAGCTCTCTCAGCAAAGGATTTAAAGAATAAAATTTGCAGATTAGTCAATATTCCAGGGAGGTAAATGGGTGATAAACACCTAGTTGCTTTCTCAGTGAGAAATTTCATTTTTAAGATTTATGATTAGCAATCAAAAATCTAATTTTGAAAATTCAGTATTGTAACAAGTGAAGGTGGGCCCAATTCACAAAATCTGGATCTGGATATTCCCAAATTGAGGTGGTTGGGAACCAGGGTTTTGTTTCAGGGCCATCTCTGGTACACTATTAACATCTTTACAAGCAATTGACATTATCTCAGTAGGTAGTAAATAGAGCAAACGCTGTGTGGTAACATTACAATTACGCCTTCCCATTTAGGTAAAGATTACAATGGTGGACCTTATAACATCAGTATGAATCACTGCAGTTCATTTAAAGGGAACTGGCAGGGCTGATAACTAATAACTACACTGAATGCTAACAGTCTTTTTAAAAAATCCAATAATTCAGGTAGTAGCATACCCTATTACTTCCTCAGATGAGCATGAGAGAAATCTCAGGTGGTATGTTTTCTGAGCTAGCAGAGGCTCAGAGAGGCAAGACATTAACCCATTGTGTGTGTACTTAATGTGCTTTCTAGCAGACAATCTCAGTAGCACGAGTGTACAGAGAAAGGAAAGAAGTTAAGCAGGGAGAAGATGGGGGGAAATAAACCCAAGCTCCCGCAATTCTCTCTCTACATATGACCAGGATCCAGATCAAGGGAGGAGAGATGGCAAGGGATTTGGTTTAAAAAAAAAAAAAAAAAATCTAAGATTTTGCAGGACAATTTCTTGTATGGAATAGGTTATAAATGAGAGTAATCCCAAACGTTATGCAATAAGGCACATCCATTTGCAAATGAAGAGCACTTTCAGTGTTTACAGCTGTGGTCATCAACATCTTTGATACAGCAAACATATTAACCATGCTACACATCAAGAAACTGTCCCCAATTGCCTGTTGGTCAGTCCTCTACTCCATTTCTGGTTCCCCTGTGTGTTTTCTTAATTGTATTTCAGCATTTTCTAGAAAAATAGTGTGACATTAATAGCTTCTTAGTGACATTATCCAGCTTCACTTGCAGGCTCCAGCTGCCACTGCCCTTTCTTTCTTTGCCGTGTCTGGTAAAAAATACTGGAAGGTCACTGCAAATAAATGGACCAGCTTCAGTGTTTAAAACATGAAAAAATATTTTCTTTCCTGTACAATTGGGCAATTAAAACCTAGAGAAGATAAGAGGAAAATCCTTAAAACAATTCAGACCTCCAGAACTTATCAGTGCATACAGAATTCTAGCCAACTGTATCTTTTTAAGAGCTTTTCATAATGCTGTGTCTTCCTCCTCTCTGAAATCTCCCACTAGAAGTGAGTGCTTATCTGGTTCACTGAGAACTATACTGTTGAGGGAGCGTTTATCTGAGAACAGGGAATTTAGTGAGGCTCTACTATAACTGATGATTTGATCCATTAGGCTGAGTTTGGGAGAAGCTGTCCCAGTATCATCAATTCCAACATGGACACAGATTTCCGAACGGCTCTTCTGTCTCATATAGCCACGGGCATGGAGCTCATATTTCTCATAATTTGGTTTCTTGTAGCTAAGGGGAAAAAAAAATCCAGTATAAATTAGTTGGCAGTAACTGTGAATAGAAACAACTCAATGTGGAAAGAAACTACTGCAGATGCTCATGTACAAATCAGTACAGTTAATACCCACTGCCATTCATAATTTGAATACATAGTGCAGTGTTAAAAACTTCTAATTTCTCATCTTTTGGTTGATTCTAATACCAAATGAGAACTTTATTTTAAAACAGTACACAGAAGGGGAAGGGAGAGCAAAGCAGATTCATACCACTTCTATTTAACTGCTTGACTGGTGTTGAAATTCCCAAGTACCTCCTGGTAGAATGCATCTACAGGTTTTGTTAACGGAAGAGGCATTATGGAAGTGTTCTACTATAATTAGGAAATCATCGCCTTTTCTACCCATGGCCCTTTGCATTATGTGCACCTGGCCGGGTTGCAGTTCAAACTCACATGTTTAACAAAACTGCCTGACATATTTTGGATCGACTGGCTACTCCAATGAAGCAAAATGGATAAAAAAGAAACCAAGAAGGCAGTGTGTTGAGAAGGTGATCGGCCTGAAGACAGCCACTACTAAAGACGGACTTGCCTGAATTCCAGAGCTAGGATTAGAGTTTAGGAGCCTCTAACTCTTCATCCTGTGCCCAGTTCACTAGACCCCTCTGCCTCTAAACTAAGAGATCTGTGACTGCAAATCAAAATAAATACAGAATTTTTCACTTACAGCTTTAGCAACAGAGAAGAACACACAACGGAAACAGAAGAGGCAGCCATTGCAGCAGAGCCCATCCATGGCTGCAAAACGATACCAACTGGCAGAAAAACACCTAGGAAAGAAACCAGCGCTGATTCCAGATAAACCACATAAGAACAGAATATTCCTTATACAGTACCTTTAATGCACTGTATACAACCAAGCAAGTGTCCCTATGGATGTCTATACATGAAGTTTTAGTTGCATTTTAACACATTAACAAACATGTCTGTAAGTTCTAGTGTATGCAAAACAGAAATACAGGTAGGAATAATAATTTTGTCATTTCTATACTAGAATTTACAGCTGTATTAGCTAAAATGGGTTATCTAGCATGGGTTAAAATACAACTGAAAGTTCAAGTGTAGACATAGCTTGTTTTCCCTGCAGTAAAGGATTCTCTTAATGGAGTCAAAACCATGGGTTTTCACACCTCATTCAACAAAATGTTTCTCTTAAATATATGTTGATGTACAGACCATATCATAATAGGGGATAGTTTCCTGCTACTCCACCACCATCTCTCTAAAGATAAAGAACTTGTATTGATAATCAGTCACAGGCAAGAACGATGGGTACCATTTTATGAAGAAAAAACACTGCAATCATCTATTAAAAAAGCACATCAGTACAACAACAGAACACTCACGTACCAGCAGCAACAGGAATTCCCACGAGATTATAAATTAGAGCAAAGACAAAGTTGAACCGGATTGTTCTGACGGTTTTCCTTGATAAATCTATACTTGCCACCACATCTAACAAATCGTTCTGCAAATTAAAGCGTTTATAGGAAAAGTCAAAAGAAAACTAATGTCACATATGAAATGTTATCATATTACTGTTTTCAAACCTAAATACTGTGCACTGAGCATTTCTAAAATATATGTAGATATATCTATCTCATAGAAGTGGAAGGGACCCCAAAAGGTCATCAAGTCCAGCCCCCTGCCTTCACTAGCAGGACTAAGTACTGAATTTTGCCCCAGATCCCTAAGTGGCCCCCTCAGGGATTGAACTCACAACCCTGCTAAAAAAGGTCAATGCTCAAACCACTGAGCTATCCCTCCCGCAAAAGATGCAAGTGTCTCTCTAGTAGGTGTTTTTAGCTTGTCAGTCCTTCCTCTATTTTATGTTTGTGCAGTGCCCAACACAATAAGCGTTAGGAGTCCCTGGGCACTGATGCAAAACAAATAAATAATATGTTTACAGCAACGTTAGTGTTGCTACAATCACTTGTCAGAGTTCCTATCAAGCTCTGTTTTTTAGGAATTTATAACCAGGCTGTGAAAATTCATTCTTAAGTGCAACTTAGCATGCAGGAAGACATGATCACCAGATTCTAGGTGTTATAGCATCCTTCCAAAAACCCTCATTCCCTCTCCTTTACCCATCCTCAAACTTGGCACTCTTGCCACAATACATCCAGCAAAAGAAAGCTGGCTGCAGCTTCCTTCAAGAGCCAATGAACATCACACCCTCAGGAGTCAGAGAAAGATAGTTTCCTCCCTGCTCCAATTCCATTGGTCTGTAGGGATGGAGCACATCACCTCTGCAGTTGTCCCAATCAGGCCAGTGTCAGAGTGAGGGACTGAGCACAGGTCCCAAACAACGGCTTTCACTTCACTGTCTCTGGCATGCCCCACCCATGTTTCTTTAACGAAACAAGCTTAGTTCCATTACTTACCCTAATTAAAACCACATCTGCTGCCTCAATGGCTACATCAGTGCCTGTGCCAATTGCAATTCCAACATTAGCCATGGCAAGAGCGGGGGAATCATTGATACCATCTCCCACCATTGCTACCCGCTTGCCCTCTTCTTGTAACTGTTTCACTTTGGCTACCTTGTGTGAGGGAAGAACCTCAGCAAACACTTTGGTGATGCCAACCTAAAGGAAGAGAAAGAACAAAACCATATTACAACTTTTCCATGTGCTGTCCAAGATTCTGTCTCTGAATGTATATGCTTTCTATTCTCTCTGGTGAAGAGCCGACAGTATCCCTTTGAGTGAACAGTGAACCAACTACAATCCAATTTCACTTTAAGTAACATACCACACTGCAGACTATTTTTTCCCACTGCCACACTATTTTATCATTTCCCCAATGCGGTCACTGGCATGAGGGAGAGCCTAGTCTATTTTAGGGATGTGACTTGATTTTAGCAAGAAAGGTAATAATTGTGATTACTGGATTAGCAAAGGGAGACCAATTCTGTTAAAAAAACTGAAATTTAAAAAGTAAATAGGAAGATACTGTATAAAGAAGGAAACAGTCCTAATTCATCCTTTTAGCAGAGAATGTACATACTGCTGAGAAGACACTAACTGCTATAACAACTCAAAGAAACCAAAGAGATCTAGATTTTTATATCTTCAAGAGTAATCTTTCTCCAATGATCAATGTATTTTTATACCAGCTATTTAAGTAGAGATACTTAAATAGATAATTGCTTGAGGATCATTAAAAAATAAACTGATTTAATTATGCACTATGAGGGTTAAAAAGGAACATCATCAGGCTAAAAGTCCTGGTCCAAATCTGATGTAAGAAGTGCAATACACTGAAGTCAGAATTATAGCTGCTTACAAAAAACCTACAAGTGTTTCTGAACTAGTTAGTAACAGCTTAGATTTTTTTCCCCCACTGTTGGCACTTTTCACCTTCAACCAATTTTGCTATGTATCAGCCAGTGGGGCACTTAAACATGAGAGGAGATATTCCCTCCCTCTGGAGTAGAGCATAACAGAGTTCATTGGGAGGGTGGGGAGAATACCATGAAGAAAATTGTAAGTCAATTAGATATTCAGCAACTTACCTCAGAGGCAATATATCTCGCTGTTTTACTGTTGTCTCCCGTCATTAGAACAACTTCTAAACCCATAGTCTTCAAAATGTGGACTGCCAATTCAGCTTCAGGTTTCACTGTATCAGCAATAGCTATCAAACCACACAGCACTCCTAATACAGACAGCATGAAAATGAATGTTTTCCTATTAAAGTTCTCTTCCCCATCTTTAGCAGGAAATGGGTCCTAGAAGACCCTCTCAGAGCCCAAAGGATCCCCTCTTCTTCTTCATTAGTCTCCTAACCCTTAAAAGTCCTTGTAGTATGCCCAAACATCTGTGCAGTAGAGGAGAGCTGGACGAGGCTCTACCTTTCAAAATGTTACAAAAACTTGAAAGCTAGAAACTCATTTGTGGTCACATGATTCTATACAAGCGCAAGGTATTATTACTTATTATTATTAATAATAATCATCATCATCCAGATTATAGTTTCAGGGTCAATTGTTTCCCTCATCGCTTTCTATTTAAATGCTCACAAGTCAAACCCAAGAACACAGAAAAGGGACAACAATCTTACCATCAACAGCTACAAGGACTGCAGTGCAACCTCTACGTTCGTGTTCAATCATGGCATTATCAATATCGCTTTTAAGAAGAAGGCCATTTCTATTCATCCATTCCCGGTTTCCAATGAGAACAGAATACTTTTGATGATTCAAGGTAGCTGTAGGAAGAAAATATAATCCTACCATCATGTGGATACATTCAAATTAATCCAGACAAGAGTTCATAGGGTGCTCAAACAGATTAGTGGCATCATTACCCAAAATCTAAATAATGTTTAGGAACAGTTTTCTTCTTACCCACCCCACAATCGTTTCTTTTCCCTGTTTTTTGATAAGGAAATAAATTAGCTGTTCTGCAATAAGAGGCTGATAGCATTTACTTGGACCTACAGTTCTAACATGGGACAACACTGCGTAAATTTCCTCTCTCTGAGCTCTACTACACATGAAAGTCATGAGTTGAGCCTCTTTTGAGCAAAGACTGGTCAACAGTGTAAGTTACATGAAGATTTTGGGTAGTAGCACAGTTTTAAAGAGAACACAGAAGGGCAGTGGGAGCGGACTCCTGTGTTCTATTTCCAGTTCTGACACGAATTACCTTTAGCACAGAACTTTAAAATCTCTGTGTCCCATTTTAATAGAGCTCCTTTTAGCCCATGTCCCTTAGAGATACGCAAGCATCAATTACCCCATTCCCAGGGCCAGTGCTTCCATTTAGGCGACCTAGGCGGTCGCCTAGGACACGAGGATTTGGGGGGAGGCGGCAATTTGCCGCCCTCAGCGGCAATTCAGCAGCGGGGGGTCCTTCCGCGCTCTGGATCTTCGGCGGCAATTCTGCGGCGGGTCCTTCACTCGCTCCAGGACCCGCCGCCGAAGTGCCCCGAAGACCGGGAGCGCGGAAGGACCCCCCCGCCGCAGAATTGCCGACAACGACCGGGAGCGCGGAAGGACTCCCGCCTAGGGCCCCCAAAATCCTGGCGCCGCTCCTGCCCATTCCACAGATGAATAAAATACACAGCTATTAAATTAAGTAAAAAGCAACTCCTTTGTGCCTCCAAGAGATTGCAGACCCAGTTTTCCAGAGAGGAAAGGTTAGTGACCCATGGCAGCCTCTTCCCCGAGCATCCTCAACAAAAGTCAGACAAAACCAGATCATCATTCTTGGCACACATTTTATTTTACACGCATGTGTCAGCTTACTTGGCAACTGGGCATCAATAATCAAGGCAGGTTGCATTGACTCCTCAAAGTTCTCATCAACTTTTATGAGTGTCATATTCTTAATATTATTTTCTTCAACCTTCTCGTTCCTCCTGTACAGCAATGCTTCAATATTGGTGACTTTACAGCTAATGCCACAGCCTGCTACTACCTGAAAATCTGTACAGGTTCCAAGGGTTTCTGAGTCCAGTTCCTAAGAGAAAAGGTCAAACATTTTCTGAAAAATACAGAACCAGTTGCATTTATAAGAGTGCTGACAGTAAATTACACCCAAACCCAAATCTAGAACATAAGCAGATAAACTTGTTTTGATGATTGCATTTTAAGTGTCAGGCTCTAGTGTAAACAGTACTAAATCACTCACATGCCTTCATAATTTTCAACTTTCAGAACTCTCCAAGTAAAAGGCCACTTCAATAAGCCAACCACTTTCTAGTCAGTGCAAGGTTATTCACAGATGCACACACAATATTGAGACAAAGCTCTACAGGAGAGGATCTCTATCACTGCAAAATATTCTGCCCATCTAAAAGAATCTCAGTACCATACCTTCTTGCAGTATTTTGTTATTGCTGTCCCCAGAGGGTGTTCACTGTTACTCTCAGCAGTCCCCACTATTGCCAAAATCTTATTACGTGGCATCTGGTTATCCTCCACTAGAATCTTCACCTGCATCACTACTGGAGTTCCATGGGTAATGGTTCCTGTTTTATCAAATACCACCACCTTTACCTGCAGCAAAACAGAAAACTGCATTGTTGCATGAAGGTCTTACTGCAGAATCATTCAGATGCAAAGTTACTGTCCAAAGTTACTACCTAGCCACCTACAGACAACATGTGGTGATAACTTCTGTGTTTGGAAACAAATGCAGAATATTGGCATGTAGAGTCCTACTATAAATTAAAGCCTTGGAAAAATAAATTACATTTTTTACCTTATGAGCCATCTCTAGTGGCTCTCCACCTTTGATCAATATGCCATTCTGAGCTCCTACCCCAGTACCCACCATCACAGCTGTTGGGGTTGCTAATCCCAATGAACAAGGACAGGCAATGCACAAAACTGTGATGGCGGCTTGGAAAGCAAAGCGGATTATTACTTCGGTTTTGGAAATGCTCTTATTGTAACCCTGTGGACACAGAAACACGTTTTAGTAACAAAGTAAGGAACATTGTAAACCATGTATTCAACTATATATTTTCTTAGTCACAAAGGCATATTTGTAATTACATACAATAACATTCTTCAAACATAGATTTTTAAGTTGAAAAGTAAAGCGCTCAAAAGTTAGGAAGTACCAGAATTCTGATTGCCCACACAACCTTATTCTGTCCTGTAGGGCATATACCTATCACATGCTATATTTTACTCATAAGACCCTCATTCTATTTATTTACTCAAACTAAAGAATAAAAGCCATGAGACTCCCTTAAACTGGACCATAATAAACAATACTCTAATCACTATATATGGTGATTAATGCCCGATAAATACTCTCCACTAGAATCTTCACTTGCATCCTCTGTCAGAAAAAATAATCAAGCAAGAAACTGCCATCATAACTGTCTGATGGTGCAAAGTCCTATAAATGATGGGCCCCAGTCCTATAAATGAGATCCACCAGTGTGTAAAGTCTATTGACTTCAAGCTGGATTCTCCATGGGGCTGTGCCAGGAGATCCTGATGCAGAATTGGGACCTAGATTGAAGAGATCATCTTTCCCAAAGGAAATGAAATTGGAAAGTTTCAAGGTTTTTGTAATGTCAAGTTACTGTTTTGTTTGTTTTAAACAGTTAATAGTTAGTTTAATAATTAAGTTAACCAATTAAAATATTTTTTAAAACAAGGTATTTTTGTTAATCATTGAACTCTTTCAGGTTTGTAAGTTCAATACTTTTTCAAAATAAAGTTCCCATTTCTGAGTCTTTTTAGTAGTGAAGTTGATACTTTCAGTCCTAATTTGTATCAGACAGAGCCATTGCTAAGTAGTACTAGTAAGACAGCAGCCTATACTCAAATAATATCCCTATGGCTGAATGGAGATGAACAGTGGCAAGGATGTCTAGTAACTGCTTTCTAAGTAGTTTTAAATATTTTGTAAAGACTTAGTTAACTATCACATGCTATATGACTTTGCAGTTTTCCTTTCATAAGCAGAAATATAGAAAAACATTGCAGTATGTGAACAATATACTAGACAAGTGACTGTGAGGATATTCTAGGATGGAACTGTTGCAGTCAAACAGACTTCTATTACACCTATTTTTTAACAACATTTAAGAGAGTCACTTACTTGAAAATATGTTTCCACAATTTCAAAATTGACAAATCCAATTACAATCCAAGCAAAAAGGGTAACCACAGAGATAGCCACAATAAAAGGAACAAAATAGCCACTAAGTTTGTCTGCAAATTGCTGGATTGGAGCCTACGGGGGAGAAAATACATAAACATCAATTCTGATCACATGATACACTCTTCCATGCTTTAAAGCACCAGTATAAACAGAGTATCTCAGCATATCCAACAAATACTTCTAATAAAACCTAGATAGTCTCTCAATAGTTTTGACATTTTGACATGACTTTAGAGAATTAAGAGACTCAGAACTTTGAAGGTTTTGAGTTCAAAGTTTCTCTGATTGATATGTCGAGATTGCTTGGTGTCTTGATTTTAAGACTTATGCTGAGGTTTAAAAGACTCTAAGCTTTATGCGATTTGCTGAATAGAGGCCTAAATGAAGAGGCAGAAACTAATAGTTTAAATCAATGCTACTATTCAGTGAAAGTACCTTTGAGGTTTGTGCCTCCTCCACAAGTTTGACAATCTGAGAGAGAGTTGTATCAGCTCCGACGTGAGTTGCAGAGATCAGCAGTGACCCATTCTGATTAATGGAACCTGCAATAACTGTACTGCCAGGTTTTTTAGCCACAGGCATTGCTTCACCTACATAAAGGCCAACAGCAGACATTAGGGTGGCAAATTCTGATTTTGACAGTGTTATTTTTCCAACTGCTACCTAGGCCTAACATACCATTAGAAAACATACAAGCAAATTAGTGAACTTTAATCTCCCTTGTTCATAAGTATTTGATACAAATAAATATTTTAAATTTTTTTTAAAAGCAAACAGCTTACCTGTGATGAGGGACTCATCTACCATAGACTGTCCTTCAATAACGCGGCCATCAACTGGGAATTTGCCTCCTGGAACTACTTTGACAACATCACCCCGTTGAACCAGTTCAACGTCAACCTGATCTTCACTGAGAAGGGAGTATAGTACATTTAATAAAACATGGCTAATGATGTTACCAAGTCAAAAGTTACTTTTCAGCATTATATACAGCAGAATCTCACCAATTCATACATTGCTAATTGACAAAGGGCATTTTGTGATGCTTTATCCTTGTTTTATTACTTGTTTGTTTTTGTATACTTGCCAATTCAGAAAATCCGTTCAATTTCAAAGCACAAATTAGCAAGGTTGCACTATGGCATATCAGAATGGTATCAATTTTATTACATTTTAATGTTACATCTGGCAAATTCTCTTAAGTTGAACAAGTTACTTGTTGTGCACATCTTCAGCAAGGTAAAAGTGTTAGTTCAAAAACAAAGAAAAGAAAGGAAGGACAAAGCGAAATACCTCAAAAGAACGTTGTCTGGTCCTAGGTTAACAAGAGTTGCTTCTGTAGCTTGTAGTGAAATTAGTCTTGAAAGGGCTTCCGATGTTTTACCCTAGAATATGAATTTACACATTTGTCTTTGATCATGCTATCGACAAAAAATAATCACAGGCTAAACAGCTACATGCAATACAATTTACCCTTTAAAACAAATACTTCTTGCAAACTGACTAGAAAAAATAAAATTGACATTTTAAATAGTTTTCAAAATTGCTGAAAATCGTTTTGCAACATGAACAAATGATAAGCAATCAGGATCAGACTTTCCCATGTGATTTCATTTTAAAACATGTGCACCCTATAACTACACCCATGTAGTTTCCTGCAATTTGTAGATGTGACACTTTACACCACATAACGATTTATAAAAATACAAAGTTTAGTCTTGCTTCTGTTTTCTTACAAGCTGTGATTTTGCTTGCTAAGTATTTCCTCTGTATCTCACTAAAAAGTTAATCTTTCATGCTTTCTAGTGCCACCTGTCTGGAACATTTTATAGTATTTTATTTCATGTCAAACATATGAGAAGGTACTTTTATTTTGCTTTACCTTTGCCATATGCTCTAACCATCGGCCCAATGCAATGAACACAAATAGCATAGGAGGTGTGTCAAAGAAGGTCACAGGATTCACTTTTGCTTTTTCAGCCATTGCAACTAGAAGAATAACGAAGGAGTAGACAAATGCAATGGTGGTTGCCAAAACAATCAGCACATCCATGTTAGCAGTTTTATGCTTCAGTGCTTTGTATGCTTGAATGTAGAAGTACCAGCCCCCAAATAACTGTAACAACAACAACCACAATGGTACTTTACTCAAAAATACAAATGCAAAAATTACTGCTCTAAAGCTACTTTATTGAAAGTGAGAGGTGCAGGATTCTTTTCTGTACGTCCTTTTTTAAAGTTCAGGTTTAAAAGTTTAAACATTAATATTTCAATAGATATGAAGAACAAACATTTAATTAGTCTACTGCAAATCAAGGGAGCTCAAATTAAAAAAAACAACAACTAATAATTACAATGCTAAAATACAGAAGATGATGGATCCAATCCTGCTCCCACTGAAGTCAAAACACCTACGGATTTCAACGAAAGCAGGCCCCATAACAGTTTCAATAAGCATTTTGAATCAATGTAATTCACAAAGTGATCTTTTGTGCTTAATATTTTTAACGTTCCATTATAAAAAGACAATTTCAATTTGTGAACTTCTAATGACAGCAAACTGAAAGTCACCATGTTTTTATTTACCTGAACAGGGACACACAATAAAAAAGACAGCAAGTTCATTACAGACAATCCTGGCAGGACCTGACGCTCCAAGAACATAGAAGAGTGATAGGCCTCCATTTCCTCCTTGCTCATGTTGCGATGCTGGTGAACATGTGCGAGATGACTATCCATAATCATCATGTAAATCATCAGCGCCATTACAGGAATGCAGAAAAAGAGACTCACAAGAAAAGATCTTTTCCATCTTAGATAAGGAAAAAAAATAATAATGAAAGTCTGACTTGTTTTGCAAGTAACAGATAATTAATCATCACACAGATAACATTTTAGCTACAATGTCTGCAGAGACCAACAAAGTAATTTGTGAAGACTTCACTTCTGGTTCAAAAACAGCCTCAAATTTTAAAAGAAGAATCAGATGAACATTTAAATAGAATTTAAAACAGGCTCAGTAATACTTACTGCCTTATTTCCTGTTTGTGGTCTAGATGGCTACCAGATCTGTCCTTCTTGATTAAAGAAGTATCAAAACCTAAATCCTAGATGAGAAATGTATCAAGGATTTGATTTTACCATACAGAGAATTAACACCACAAAAGATACACTTTCATCTTGATTTGCAGGAAGTCATCAATACTGAACGCAGAGAAAACACCTTTAGCTGTACTTCTTTGTCCAGGCAAGTAAATATCACCTGTGATATTCTATTTCTACAATTTATACCATGCTAACTGCTCTACAGAATACAAAAGCCATTCCCTGCCATCTAGAAAAAGGAATTTGCCCGCTGGCACAGACAATTGAAACATACAGATGTGGCCAATATAAAACTTATTTCTACTTTTTTTAAGACATCTTGTGCTGTATAGAGATATTTGTTGGTTATCTGGTGGAGCAGGCCATGCATTCAGCTTGCTTCATTAGCACATTTATAAGGTCATTCTTTCACTTTCCATGTCAAAAGGTACCTCAGAAATAGCTGTCAGATTTATGCTTCAACTTGTTCTAAAATGCTCTTTCAGCATTTCCTTGCAAGGCCTGGACAAAGTCACCAAGGAGTACTGTTCTGCTGGCATATGGAGTTTCCCTTACTGCCAGAACACCTGTTCTGTATGTTGACTTCTCTACACTGATGGTGAGAAGGGTTGATGGAAGAGAAAGGGGACAGGATTTTGGCCTTGATATACCTCTGTTCCATAACCATTACATACCAAAAGTTCTTGTATTCCAGGGTTTAGAACTCTGGGAAGCATATTGGATATTCTACAAGATTTTCAGTGGCCCAATGAAACAGTTTAATACCACCTAAGCACTTACCTCTACGGTTTGTATAATATCTCGAGGACCAACAATCTCAGGATCATATTTAATGTGTGCTTTGTTGGTTGCAAGAGCTACTGAGCTGTATAATACACCTTTAGTCTTCATAAGGGTGGATTCTATTTTATGTACACATGAGGCACATGTCATTCCTCTGACCTGTTAAACACAAATTCTTCCTGTTATCAAAACCAAAGACTGATTTTTTAAAATATTAGTGAATACTTTTTCATTTATTACAGAGAATCTAAGAAAAATTAGGAAACCATAAACTGCTTTTGTTATCTGAGTTATAGCATCCCTAGATGGTATAACAAAAACCAAAAAAACCTTTTGGAATATACAGCTATCTGACCAGCAGGTGGCACTGTGGCTTGATCTTTGCATAATGTTTAGGTTAGCAAATCCACATATAGTTTGTAATATTTATCTATCTTTAGGTTTTATTCTGCTGCCTATCACCATAGTATATGAGCAACTTCTTATCAAATCAATTGCAATAACAAAGTCTCTAGTGGAGGCATATAAATTGCACATCTTCAGAGAAGGTAGAAAAATTCTGAATGCTACCTTTTTCCATTTATAGTCAATATACAATTTTTAAAAAGACTGAAGAGGTGGTACAAAGGTCAGCATTCAGCTTTTTGGGTCCTTGCTAATATTCCAAACTTTCAATAAAAGGCATGAATCGAATACACTGGGAAAAGGTACATTTGCCATATATTTGGGAGGTTTGTTGCTATTTGACATGTATTATTGCATTTGTTTCTCACCCACCTGTGCATAGCTTTCCACTGACATTTAACCTTGTAGAAGCAGATATTCTATTTGAAAGTCACATTTTCATCTAAAAACCATCTACATATTATTGGTAAAAGCAATCTTTAAGATTACTGTAACAAAGATTAAAAGATTAGATGGGAAAAACAGCTTTTTCCCCCTTTTTACTCAGTTCCTAGTGTAGACCAAGGTGTTTGTGCATTGGACTGCACTGGGTGAAAAATTATCTTCAGCTGTTTTGTTGATGATCAGTCACATTTCCTGTCTCACACTTAGCATGAGGACATCATTCTCAAGTCTTGCTCTAGGGGTGCTCACATGCATGCTCTATCCCTAAGCTCTGCAAGAGCATGTTTACCAGTAACAGCAAAGCTGGAATTGACACTGAAGAGGACACATGCAGCAAGCAGGAGTATGCATGGAGAGGAAGGTGGGGAAGAGGCAACTGGAGAGGAAGGATGGTCCGTCGACTAAAACGCTAGCCTGGGATTAAAGAGACCTAGGTTCAGTTCCCTGGTGCTTCCTGTGTGACCCTGGGCAAGCTTTTTAAACAGGGATAACTTTATTTCTGTATATCACAGGAGTGTTGTTAGAATTGTGAGGCACTCAAGTACTATTGGTAATGGGTGCCATTAAGACAGAGAGACCTATGTAAAATCATGTTTTGTGTTGCTATTCTCAGATCTACCCATAAGTCCCCTATAAACATCAACAGAGGAACATAAGAACTCTTAAAATTTTTAAAGTATTTTTAAAATTCTGTACTATTTAAAGGTGCTTTATCAGAATCTTGAATTTATCTTTTAATCAATGTCCTTTTAACTACAGATCTGATCTAATGATAACAGCCAAATGCAGCCACACACTTACAAATATCTATTTTTCTTTAAATCGGACAATCCTATCTGTATGGAAAGCATTCTAGGAAGTAAAAACATTACGCATGCACTTTGAACAGCTATAAATGATTGATATAGTTTTATTAAAATGATCTGCTTACAACAAGTTCTAGAATTCCATCTCCATCATAGTTTTCCATAACAGTAGCTCCAAATCCCAATTCACGGATTAGATCTGCTACGACTGATGGCTGTATGATAGCAGGGTCATACCTCACTTCTGCCTTCCCTGCCATTAGAGCAACAAGCACAGAACATATTCCTAGAAATATACAACCAGAAAGTACAGTGTTAAACAAACATTATATTAGAACAATGTGCAAACATGTTTAGTGTAGTAAGCATATTGTACCTCAATCACCATATTACAGGAGGCTAGCAATTACCCACATTCACTAAAACTGTGAAATAGGTAGCCTGCACGTAGCATACTGCAGAGGCACTTTCAGAACAAACAACAAAAGGTAGGCTCTGAAAGAACATGTGTACTGGAAGAATCTAAGTCTAGAGGTAAAGGAAGATAAAGGAAACAGAGGGCAATGCCAGATTTACTACTTATTTAAATTGGTTAAAAAATCCAGTTTATGATACATTAAGGGGGCTCTAAAACATCCTCAATTTCCCCCCCCCAAAGTTCCCTTTAAGAAATTTAAGAAACACACTTTGTAAGTAAGGGTTTTAGGGCTCCCCAGTATTTGTACTTGTAAAGGACTTTTCTGTAAGAAATAAACTGATTGAGAAAGAGAAATGAACTAAACACACAGTCCTGTCAAAAACAGAATGAAAGAATTTTCTCTACCAATTTCTCACAGCACCAAAGGATTAAAGCATCAAATAGTCCAAGATTTGTCCAACTTTCACATTATTTTAAACTGATTAAGTATAGCTTCATTTGCCATTGTTATTTGACTCTGCAATAATTTGCTTTTGCAGAGCTCCTCATCCTGTCAGGAGAGGGAGCACAGAATTACGGTCATAATTATGAATTACATTTATGACCATGTAACAGTGTAAGAACTTGGCTCTTTATCCTTCCCTACTTGCTAGACCACAAATAGTTTTTATGAGTCTGCCAACGCCTATAGTTACCAGGTCTATATATGGTCCTTTAGGTCAAACAGTAACAGCTCATTGCTTTTAGTTCCAGGGGCCCTGGGGTCCATCCCCACTGATGACCCAAGGCGGGGAGGAGGAAAGGGGAGAAAGTGGTTACAACAAGGAAGTAAAGCAGGAAAAGTATGGTTAAGTTGGTCTACATAATGGGGGGAGAGTTAGCTAACACGAAGTTGAAAATCTGGAAAGAGTTTTAAGTGTGCTGAACAAACAAAATGCAATTGTCTAGCTTCTAAGAGGGCAATAATAGAGAGAATACCAAAAAAAAAAAAAAAAAAATTGAATGGAGAAATGAGTGCCATTTTAAAAGAAATTACTTGCCCTGCTAAAAAGTTGAAACAATTCATTTTGTACTGATCAGAGTTTTTAAGGATTAAAGAACCACTGTGTACATCAGTAACTGGTTTATGCTCAAAGTGCAGGAGACTCTCTGTATTGTACATTGTCAATGTGTTGCACGTGCTGAATGCTAATTAATACCATGCTATGGGTGGGACAGGCAAACAGTGGGTATGTATCTAGGAGTGAGTAGGGGATCAGAGTTTTATAAGCTGCAGCCCCAATGCACAGGGGAGTGATGTACTGATGAAATGAGAAGCTTCAACTTTATGTTACCCTCTACGCTCTCCCTTGTGCTTTGGGGCTGCAGCTTATAAAACTTTGTTTTAATCTCCCTAGAAATCTGAAAGTTGATTTTACAATGTGTTTAATCCTTTGAGTGCTATAATTTCACTCCTGCCAAGGCAATTTAGAGTAGAATCTATCAAGTGTGGCAATGGAGCTATATAGTCAGTGTGCAGGGCCACATGCTTTACTGGATATAAAGTAAGAGTGTGTAAGATGTACACTGTAAAACAATCAAAATTCAACGGTGGTTGTTTTTCCCTCTAACCCCATGTTAAAATTCCACTACAACAGCTGCAAAGACATCTCTAAAACACGGCTAGAGATTTAACAGGTTTTACTGAAGTATATCTCACCATCTTCTCTCCTCAAATTTCTCTCAATATTTGCTACGCAGGAAGCACAGGTCATGCCAGTGACCTGGATGTAACACTTCGATGGAGTCTTTGCCTCCTGTTTATCATCATGGACTGGTGACACTTTGGAGTGCGGTGCTGTTTTGTAAAGCATATTATCCTGAGAATCTAACGGCACTTCCAGTGAAGGCTGAGTTATTAATACCAATGGTTCTGTCTTTGCTGGGGGGTGGAAAAAACATCACAAATCATGAATTTATTAACAACCTCTGAAACGAGTTATGACCCGGACACAACATAACATGAGTGCACATTACTGTAGTATTCCTGACTGAGAAGCAGAATTATACTCACCTTATCAGAAAGATGCATGTATTTGCTCTGTGGGTGCTAAGTCAAATAAGCCTACCTCTGCTCCCTAGAAACCACTCCCTTAGATACTGGTTAGGCAACTGATAAACTGTGACTTCTGTTTTTCTGCTCAACTGTGTCCATTTCATTACCTTTTTTACTCACCCTCCCCCATCATCTTTATCTATTTTGTCCTTTTGTTGTATCCTGTCTGTTATGTAGATGGTAAGCTGGGGCAAGGAATGAATCCTTGTTATATGTCTGAACAGTACTCAGGCCAGGTCTATATTAGGAAATTAGGTCAGTATAACTACATCGCTCAAGGATGTGAAAAATGTACCTTCTTGAGCAATACAGTTAAAATGACCTGAGCCCTGGTACAGACAGTGCTAGGTTGACAGGGGCGCTTCTCCCGTCGACATAGCTACCACCTCTCGCAGAGTGGGAGTACCTACATGGACGGGAGAAGCCCTCCCATCAGTGTAGGTAGCGTTTTCACTGAAGCGGCGCCATTGCACTGTTTTAAATGTAGACCTGCCCTAGTTGTGACACCAAGCACCGCTGTATTTACACCTTACCCACTATGGTAATAATCTTCATACAAAATATACCTTAAGAGGTATTATTTGAAAACTGGTAACTCACTGATCATTAATAATCTTGTATCATGTATGTACATGGTGGGTATTAAGACTTATGGACATAAGCTGAAATTATAACTAGAATTTGTTCAAACCAGGTATATGAGGGGGAGTTGCTAACCAGGTCTATCCTAAACAAAGGAATGTGTGTTTACTGCTTATATATAAATTGAGGTAAACAGACCCATGAAGCTAACAAGGGTAGAAGCAAAACTTACATTAACAAGTGGGGGAGAAGACAGCATGGCATCTACACCCAGCAGGATAGAGACGCTTGGTGTGGGTTTTACTTTTCAGTAGAATCCGTTTCAAAAGTTTACTGGTCTACAAATGCAGGGGGTCTGAGCCTCAAGTGATCAGCAACTGAATTAACTGAGTATATACAATATTACTGTACTATAAAAGTGTATAGAGTGAGGTCTTTTCTGAAAGCTAATGACAACACACTGGTGATTAATATCGTTGTGATATATATGTTGTAACATTGTGACGCTGGCAAGCTTGATGCCAACTCTTGCCCAGGCTGCAGACATTAGCTAAGAACTGACAACCTTGTAGCTGGACATCAGACCAGTTCACCTGTACATTAGTTTTGCTCAAAATAAGTATTAGTCTTATGAGAATGTGTTTAGACTCTATGAAATGCTTGTAAGTTGCTGCACACATTAATTTCGCTTGTAACGTCTGTATTCCATGCTATAAGAAAATATGTAAATTTTGCTTTATAACTTTGAACATGTTTGCTCTGAACCCAGGCACAGGAATTGTCCCCACTGCCCATCTAGAAGGGCTATCAAAATCATATGGCCATCAAGGAACATCACAATACAAAGGATTGGTTAGTGGCTCTATCGCACCTTGGAAATGTTATGTCAAGAAAGCTCGTCCTGTGGACTTGGAAGCTGAATGAAGAAAATAAAACAAAGTCGTAGGAAAATTTTCCATCTCTGCTCTGTTTGAACTCTGACTGGGCTAGAGACACCAAACTAAAGTCACAGATCTCCAGGGGCTGCCTCCTGGGTCCGCCATGAAAGACACTTTGAATTGACAGATTACTACAACTCTGTCACTCTTTGGATTTAAATGGTAACTCATTTGTATGCATATCTTTGCTTTCTTTAACCTGTAAATAACTCTAGTTTCTTTTTCTAGTCAATAAACCTGTACATAATTTATTACAGGATTGGCTACTGGCATTGTCTTTGGTGTAAGATCTAAGGTACCAATTGATCTGGGTTAAGTGACTGGACTCTTGGGTCTGGAAGCAACTTGAATATTGTGTGACTTTTGGCGTAAGTGACCGTTTATCACTAAGTCCAGTTTATCTGAGCAGCAAGATAGACTGGAGAGTCTAACGGGACTGTTTGTTACTCCATGGTAAAACTGTTGCAGTGATCCAAGAGTTAACATTTGTTACTGGCCTGGTGAAATCTAATTATAGAACACACCATCAGTTGGGGTATCTGCCTTGTTTTTGACAGTCTGCCCTGAAGTAGGCACTCACAGTCATGAGCCACTTCCAGCAGGCGAGACAAACATTATAGAAGGAATTATGAATGCTCATTGATATTATGTTTTAAAGTGTGTGGCCGAACAAGGGAAGGAACAGTTCTCACCCAGACAGGAGTCGTGGCAGTTATTTACCTGTCTCCTATGTAAATTAAGTATGATAGAATCAAAACAATGGAAACCCCATTTACATATGGGGGATAGGAATCCCACAGGAAGGGAAGAACAGCATGAGGTCAGCTTCTTGATGAACATAGCAAGCTGAATATACAAGGGCTTCCTACCTCATGAAGCCAGGTCATTGAACTCTCAAGAACAGAAGCCATCTTTGGCGTCCATCAGTAGACAGACAAAAGGGAAGAGAGCTCTAGCAAGCTGAGAAAGATGGGTCCTTCAACCAAGAGGGGGTTGAAGTCTCTGGAACTGAATATAGGTGAGAAACCTTCTTAGGCAAAGATCTTTCACCTATGAAGATAAGGGAACTTGTACTTTTGTGAAAGGTCCTGCCTGAGGGAAAGTCAGCCATGGCTGGGAAGAAAAATAACTGGTGAGAGAAACTGTCTTGAACAAAGCCTGTATTTTGTTAGATTAAGTTTTAGACTTTTAGATGAGTGTTTTCACTTTTATTTGCTTGTAATCATTTCTAACTTTATTCCTTTTACTTAGCATCACTTAGCCTATGTACTATTGTTAATCAATTTGTTTTATTATTATTAGAAGCCACCTCTGTGCTGCATTTAAAGGGAAAGCTGTATTTACCCCCACTTAAGTTAATAAGCTGTGATTTGATTTTGTGTCTTTAGAGGAACAAACCAACCATATTATTTCTCTGAACTGTCCAGGAGAGGGCTGGACATTGCAGAGTACAGGGTTTTGGGAAAATCTGGGACAGAGAATGTGTTGGGGTTAACCTGCAAGTAGTAACCAAGACTGGTGGGACCCAGAGTGGGGCTGTAGACAGATTGCTGGGGTTAGAGCTGCTAAACCAGGGCTGTCTAGCACACAGACCCTCAGGTTGTGACCTGCATGCTTATAGACTGTTTGTAAGAGGCCCAGGTTGGGAGCTACAGCAGCAAAGCATTGTTAAGCACCCAAGATTACAGGGCAGCGGGTGACAACCCCTCACAGGTCTGGATTGCACCCCAGAATGTGGCACTGGTACTTGGGACCTGAAGACTGATTGCTGTTTCTAGGCATCACCATAATACGAATAATAATAAATCTTCAACAGACATTACAAAAATTAATAGCCACTTCTAATTTTACAGAGGTACATGACATGACCTCCATGAACTAAAACAGTAGTATTATGCATTACTCCAGATCAGAGATGCTACAGACTTAACATATTGCAATCTGATCAGGTAAATGTGTTATTGACACAGTCATACACTGACGGTTGATATGTAACAGAACCACACTCCTTGCCAATTTAGCATAACATTTATAGCAACTCTCTCTCATTTTATCTTTAAAAGACAAAACTGGCATTTGATATAGCTGGAATTGCCTAGATATGGTAGGATAATATTTAGCACTTTATTTGTTCCATGTGCTGTATAACATTAATGAAGATGGAGTTAGTATTATTAACCCCATTTTTACAAATGGTGAAAGAGATGAAGTTAAGAGGAGTGGCCAAAGTCACACAGCAAATAAGTGGCAGGGATGGAATTAGCATTCAGGATTTCCTTCCTCCCAAGAATCAATGGATAATTTAATTCCTGCACACTGTATAGAAATGATGGATTACGTCGTAGGGGTTGGGGAGCAGTCCTGTACAGAAAAGATTCCCTAGAATATCAAAAGATTTTTTAGGCAGAGAGCACAAGTCAGAAATATGGATGGCTACAGTGAGTACAACTACTCCAAATATAAACAGGACAAACATTTAAAGCCACAGTCTTGCAAAAACTTATGCATGAGTTTAACTTTACATACTGTGAAGAAAGAACAGGAGTACTTGTGGCACCTTAGAGACTAACAAATTTATTAGAGCATAAGCTTTCGTGGGCTACAACCCACTTCTTCGGATGCAGAGTTCCACTGACCTCACACAATGTGTAAAGTTAAGCATGCGTGAAAGTCTTTGCAATGTAAATAGGCTCTCTCAATACCATGAGCAATTGCTTCTTGTAGCAGTTCCTTCTGGAGAATATTCTTGACTTACTCTTGAGTAACACACAGGAGCTGGTTGAAAGAATCACTGGAACTGGAGATGGCCATCTAGTCTCATCTCCCTACCTCTGAAGAATAATTGTTACCTATGGTATGTTTGTCAGTGTTTTATCTAGCCCTAGTGATTCAGGCTATGGGACTTCCACCCCCTTCCCTTGAGCAGCATCTCTTTTTACTGATAGTCAGCCTAAATTCTCTCCCATAATTTTATCTCATTACTCCTAGTTAAACATCTCTTCCCATTTCACATATAAAGGGGTGCCAATCACCATAGAAACGAGACGCTATTTAATGAATTCCTTTTTCTCCTGGATGTTTACACCATTCCGATAATAGTAGACAGTTATGCCTATGTCTCACTAGCCATTGTTTTGCCAAGTGATTCATACAGAGCTCTTCTAACCCTTCCCCTTCAGCCACAGAGTCATTTTTGTTTTCTCTGAATTTCTCTACAATTTGTCAACATTTTTGTTAGTGAAGTGCGAAGGACTCTCCCCATCCCCCATATTCATCCCATTAAAGATAGACAGCAACAAAATACTTAACATGAAATGAGGGGAAAATTTTCTTAGGCATCTTGAGTTAATCATTTTCAATTAATCCAGAGGACTAAGGAAATGAGTCTCAACACTATAGGGGTGGGTCTCCACATGTACAATCCCATTAGCATGAAAAGTAATTATATAGATAATACCTCATTCAGCAAGTTGAGTCTGTACCCCATACTTCTGTACATTTAATTCTAGGCAGTATGATATGCTAAAGGGAAGTGAATTAGTCATACAAACTCAGTACAAAAAAATGTAGTTTGGCATTACCTGATAAGGAAGCATCAAATCCCATGTCCTCTATTGCAGCTCTTAAGTCTTCTGGACAAGTTAGGAGAGGGTCATATTTTATAGTCCCATTATGATTCACAAGAGACACACATATTGATTTTACACCTGGCTTTTGGGAAATGACTCCCTCAATAGATTGCACACAAGAATTACAAGTCATTCCCTCAATATTTATCACAGTAACTTGAGTAAGGGACTGGTTGGTGTTGTTTAAAGCACCTGAGAAGGTCTGAGAAAATTTCACTGGAGAGATCTGTGCATTGAAAAGCTCTACATTTTCATATTCATCAGGAAGACTGACTTTAAACGTCTCTGGTGATACTGCCTCTATGGCTCTTCTCAGTGTATCTATGCTGATGAAGTCTGGGTCGTACTTTACAGTAGCTGTTTTCTTCTCTAAAGAAACTACTATGCTTGCTACAGATGGGAGTGCTGATATGCTGCTCTGAATATTTAAGACACATGAATTGCAGTGCATGCCATCGACTCTGAAAACAATGGCCTTTAAGTCATTAATATGCTTTGGACTTTTTTGAAGCGTTCCCTCTGAACATTTGGTTTGGGTGTTCTTTAAACGCTCCACATCAATAACACCCAGCTTGATGGGTTTGGGCTGTTTTTTGATAAATGCTGTGAAACCTGCAGCTTCAATTTGGTTTTTGATTTCCTCTGCGGTAATTAGATGAGGCTGATACACAATAACAGCTTCCTGATTGTCCAGGGAGACTAAAAATTAAACAGAAAAATGTATTAGTGTCTTTGCTCCCCATCCCCTCCTCATAACATTCCATTTAAATATCACTGACTATAGAGAGTCCTATGAGCAGCGCATCTTGTCAATGGGGTAAAATTTTCAAAAAAGTGATTTAATCACTAAGTCTCGCTGAAAGTCAATGCGATGGATTTAGGCTCTTAAGTGCTTAAATCGCTGAAAAAGGGACTTGGGTACTTTTGAAAACTGTACCCAAAGTGATCTAGTTTTTCTACCTTTGGTGCCTAATACTGCAACAGGTCTTAATCTCCTGTTGCCTAATTTTTTGACCTTTTCCTAGAAAGTTCATGCCTTGCCCAGCAATATGTTTGTTTAGCATTAATGTAAGAAATAACTAACTCTTCTATCATAGACCCCCAAGTCATTTTCTTTATGTTATAGACAATTAATTAGGTATTTCTGCCATCTCCATTTACGACACTACCTTACATACACCATTATTAGTTATTTAAGGTTAGATGGAAAAGAAAAGTTAAATATAATTAGAGCTCTGAAAGAAAGAGGAACACTATTACTCCTGTCCCAATCAAAACGTAAGGCATTCGTGTGAGACCAACAGCCTGGTCAGACACTGGGTTATTTTCTTTATGACACTGTCAGCGAACTTCAATACTAATTTGCATCCTGTTGTCTTTAGGCCTGGCAGTCTCCTGAGCATAGATGATGCACTGTACCAAACTGTAAACCGGTTTTGTAAAGTAGGCAAGTGTTCGGTCACTGGGGAAGTGAAAGAGACTAGAATGCTGCTGTTAGAAACTAGAAACGGTTAGAAAATCATTTTCACTTGTGCTCTAAAAGAGTGGTTCTCAAAGCCGGTCTGCCGCTTGTTCAGGGAAAGCCCCTAGCAGGCCGGGCCAGTTTGTTTACCTGCTGTGTCCGCAGGTTCAGCCGATCGCAGCTCCCACTGGCCGCGGATTGCCACACCAGGCCAATGGGGACTGCGGGAAGCAGTGCGGGCCGAGGGATGTGCTGGCTGCCCTTCCTGCAGCCCCCATTGGCCTGGAGCAGCAAACCGCGACCAGTGGGAGCCGCGATCGGCCGAACCTGCGGACGCGGCTGGTAAACAAACCGGCCCGGCCCGCCAGGGGCTTTCCCTGAACAAGCAGCGGACCCGCTTTGAGAACCACTGCTCTAAAACATGGAACTGGGTGTCCACTGATACACAGGTGAATCATCCTACTGAACCACCTAGCTTCATCTGTTGATTGCATCAACAGATATGAAAAAAGGACAGCGTAATCAATTAATCTACATGTAAAATTAAAACAAGGCATTACCTTTAATCCGCTGTACCCCTTGCAGTTTGCCAATCTTTCCTTCTATGGTGCTGGTGCAAGAATGGCAGGTCATCCCCTCTACCTTCATCCTTAGCACAACATCAGATGCTTGGGACCAAATGGAATCTTCACCAGTCCCTGATGTCTTCTCTGGTGCTCCAGTATTTAAATCTATGCCTGGCACCATTTGAATAATCTGGTTGCCATTTATAATGGAAGAAATGAATGTCACAACTGCAGTTTTTTGGTCAGAGGAAATTTTAACATCCAAGATACCTTTGTTCTTTAGTAGGGCGTTACGGATCTGTTCACATGTTACATGTGACTGAGTAGGAATGGTTAGAAAAGTAGTGTCAAGTAAAACAGGTTTTGGGTCTGAATCAGCCAGGGTAGCATCAAATCCCATGTCAACTATAACTTCCTGAAGGGAGTCTGGAGTCTGGAGTCTGGGATCATAGATAATGGTTGCATTCTTTCCTTCTAGAGATACCTTGAAGAGGAAAAAAAAAATGACTTAGAGCTAATACCACCCACTAGTTGACTGTCAAATAGCTTATACCTACTGTAGGATAAGCATGAAATTAAAGTATTATAGTTATCTTAAGTTTAGTTAAGGAAATATATACATGTTGTAAAGAAAGGCCCTGATTAACAAGTAGAAGGAAGGCCTTGAAAATAATAAGGCCATAAGGAATAAAATAGGGAGGATGTCCGATTCAAAGGATAACTAATGAGATAAGGGAAAGTTGCTAAAAAGAATGCCGCTAACCAATAGGGGTGACTGCAGATGGTTTTAAATAAGACAAAAAGTATCTGTCTTAAAATGAGACAACATGGCCTTCCCAACCACATACCAGTGTTAAAGCTTATGTGAACCCAGGTGCAATGGAAACACTGTTGATCCACAAGGAGGAGGGGAGGAGGAGATAGGGAGGAATGGCCTTGGTAAGGGGGAATGGCCTTGTAAAGCTTATCTGGGTTAAGACTGGAAATAAGGGTGAACTGTCTCAGATTGTTTTTTAGCTGAAGTCAGTAATTGGCAATGACATCACTTTTCTGCTGAAGAGTATAAACAAGTAAATTCTTAAAGGGTTCATTGCTAATACCTGCCTAACCACGCTGGAGCTGACCAATATAGGTTTAAGCACCAGAGATGACCCACGCCTGCCAATAGTGAGGTGGCAGAGTGAGGGCAGCCACTTCAGCAGTGTTACTGTGCATGCTCGGTCCATGCGAGCATGTTCAGTACAAGCCAAGCAACAAATGGGGAGGGGCACATGC